ATAGAGAATGGGAATAGGAATAGAATAGGGAATGGGAATAGAATAGAGTAGAGTAGAGTAGAATAGAATAGAATAGAATAGAATAGAATAGAATAGAATAGAATAGAAAATGGGAAGAGAAGGGAAGGGAAAGGAAAGGAAGAGAAGAGAATGGGAAGAGAATGGAAATGGAATAGAATAGAATAGAATTGGGAATGGGAAGAGAATGGAAATGGAATAGAATAGAATAGAAAAGAAAATATGGAATGGAATAGAATAGAATAGTTTAGTTTATTGTCATTGTACCTCGTACAACAAAATTAAATACCTTCTTCAGTGTACAGTTTATGACTATGAAAATAAACGCAAACACACATCTCTCACTCTCCACATAGAATAGAATAATAACTTTATTGTCACTTTGAATGTATATTCATTAACATACATTAAAATGGAATTTCATTGCATACAGCTCTCAAGGGGTCTCCACCTCCAATACACACGACATGAACACGACAAAATAAATAAATAAAACATAAATAAATAAGTACAGGGGAACTTAATAAACATGACAAAAGAAATCAATATAAGTGAACTATTATAACTTGGGGATTGCCCGTATTGCAATGGAAAAGGGATGCTGTGCAGGGCTGAGCTGGCCCAACAAGCCTCGGCACCTTCAAGGCAGCATCTTTCGCAGCATTCTGAACATTGCGTTGTCAATCACCACGGCAGCTTTTGAACATAAGCTTGTGAACGTGGCAGCCTCTGCGGTGCGCCTGAATGGCGGCGCCCAGGCGGTTTGGCTTGGCTTCGGCCTTTCCACTCCTTCCTTTCAGGGTCCTCCCACTGTGGCTGTCAAAACAATGTGGCCCTCTGGAATAACTATTGTTGAAAAGAAAAAGTCTCACCCCTTTTTCATTCTTCGCTTGGCAGATGCAATGGAAGATGACGATGATGATGACGATGACGACAACGAAGGCAATTATCTGCATCCCAGCCTTTTCGCTTCTAAGAAACGGAGCAGGCTAGAAGAGCTGATGAAGGTAATGTAGCTGGTTCCTTTTTTATTTTTATTTTTTTAAGGAGACGACTTCCGGTCTGGTTTTAAATGTGCTGTCAAGGTTGTGAGTTTCCTATACAATGACTCCTCCACACCTTCCCCCACCCCCTTTGCTTTGACAGAGCCCTATTCCATGTTACAAATGGTAGTTAATGCCCTTCTAGGTTTGCACGCCATATGGAGAAGGGGTTATTTTCCTCTTGTCTACTAGCAAAACCTTGGTGAGATTTCCCTTCGCTTCTATTTTGGTGGTAACTGTTTTCTATGATGGCATTTCAGAAGTGGGCCACTTTTTCTTTTCTTTTCTCTTTTTTAAAATAGTTTTTATTTATATATTTTTCTTTCACCTATATAAGTATTTAGTAAACAGCCTGGGTCATTTAACTCATACATCATAGTAATAATAATAGGATTCTTTACTTGTATATAATAATAATAATATTCCCACATCTAATTTCTGCTTTTATTATCTAACCCTTGATAAAACAAATCCCAAATTTTAAAAAAAAAGTTTTAACTTTTCTGATCTCAACACAGTTTCTTTCAGGGAGGAGAGACAACCCAACATTTTTCCCACCACAAAGTCATGATAAAAATTAACCATTACAAAGGATATGCTCTTCTGTTGATAAGAGTTGTAAAACATTGTCCCTCCTAGTAAGCCTACGATAGAGAGCCAGTTTTATGCAGTGGTTAAGATGCTGGCCGAGAAACCAGGAGATTGTGACTTCTAGTCCCGCCTTAGGCAAGAAAACCAGCTATGTGGCTTTGGGCCATCTCTTCACAAAGAGATGGTGAGTTCAAACCCCACCTTAGTCCAGAAAGCCAACTGGGTGTCCTTGGACCCATCACCAGGAGATGGTGAGTTCTAGTCCTAATTTAGGCATGAAAGCTGGCTCAGTGTCTTTGAATTAATCTCACCCTCTCAGCCTTACCTACCTCACAAGGTTATTGTTGCAGGGAAAATAGAAAGAAGAAGGAGTATTGGATACGTTTGCTACCTTGAGTTATTTATTGAGGGATATAAATCAGATTGTTTTCAGATTGTCCCAACTAACCCAAGAGAATCAGAACTCCAAGGTCACTTGCTTCCCCAGAGAACGTCTTTTTTGGGTACATCATATCGGCATACTTAATGTAAAACCAACACTGAATCCTTCCCATGGGTTCAGTATAATTAAAGCAAGCAATAACCCCTTCCCCAAGTGTCACTGGTCACGTTGGCCAATTAAGTTAATTGGCGAACTCCTCAGGCACTCTTCTCCTTCCTCCATCACCTGGGAGATGACCTTGATTCCCACAAGAAAGGTTTATGTTGTGTCTAGTAAGGCATTCCAACCTCCTTCCCCCTTCCTGCAACTGTGAGGCAACAATGAACCAGGAAAGGGGCCTCTGCCAGGTTCAGTTCAACGTCGACACAGATACATGATTCATAAATCCTATCTCCAGCAAGTCGTTTAGAGTGGTGCGGTGGCCTAGAGATGGAGCTCTCGCCTCACAAGCAGGAGGCTGTGAGTTCGATCCTAGGTAGAGGCAGATATTTCTCTCTCTGGGCACACTGAGAATATATCTGCTGAACAAAACTCTGCATTGGCGACAGGAAGGGCATCCAGCCAATAAATACTCAGCTCCATTCAGTTGCCCAGACTCCACCCTGCAAGGGATTATGGGCTCGATTGATGATGATGATGATGATCTCCAGCAAGCCGTTTGAATCGTCCTGGCCAATGTGGGTAAAGAACTTGCGAAGCTTTTCTGAACCACAGAGATGCACAGTTGACATTGGGCAGCCAGTGTGAGGGAGCTCAGCCGCCATGATACCCCTTGTCTTTGCCCCTTGTAGCCGCTGAAGGTGGTGGATCCTGATCACCCGTTGGCAGCCCTTGTTCGCAAAGCCCAAGCCGAAAACGCCAGTGCTGCGTCTCAGGCGGGTGAAGGCACAACCGCTCCGTCGTCCCAAATGGAATATTCTTCCGATCGTAAGTACATCCTGTTGATAAGAGAATTAAGCCTGTGAGAAAGTCGCCATGTATAATGGGCTGGAAGAGACACTAGTGAGGGTTACAGGTAGTCCTTGAACTTGTGACCACAATTGAGCCCAACGGTTCTTTTTTTTTTTTTAATCAGTTTTATTAATTTTCTATGAATTACATTCCTTAGTGTTTAATAAACACCGTGTTGTCTAGGTATTTAATTTGCTTAACAATACAAATGCCATTCTTTACAAATTTTTATAGTGTGGTGACCAAAACTGGATGCAGGATTCTAGGTGTGGTCTTACTAAGGCTTCATAGGTGATCTTGACTGTATCCCTCTGTTAATGCGTGGCATCAGACCTGTATGCTCCAAAACAGGGATCCCCAACCTTTCTGGCTCTGCAGACCAGCTGGGGCGAGCAGAGAGGGATGGTTCCCCCCCAAACAGCGGGTGCACTTGAGCCAAATGGTTTCACGGGCAAGCATGCACGCCCACTGTTTGTGCAAATGGAGTCTTGTGCGCTCGCCCATCACTTGCGCAGCCCAATTCTCAACGGGCCATGGTCCGATACCTGGTCATGGCCTTGGGAGTTGGGGACCCTTGCCCTAAAAGGTGATGTTTTGTTGATCGGGGTCCCTCCCCCTCCCCAAGTCAAAGAGCCTATCTTTGTGGCTGTTTAATGCAGCCTCCCTGCAACCCGTCTGTTCCCCCACCCACCCACCCACCCACCCCAGGCATCTTGGGTTGAACAATGAAGCTATGGATTCAGAGTTGATAGTCCCACTGCAGGGAAAATGACCTGTCATTCTCGTGTAGCAATAGTTGCTATCCGATGATGTATTTTTGTCCTTTTCCCATCATCCCGCTGCCCGTTTTATTAGATGAGATAAGATTGATGGTGCAATATTGATATCCTAAACTCCACAAAGAGCAGAGCGGAAGAGAATCAAATGAATGAAGATGGTTTCATTTCTGAAGGCGCATGCCATGCATTAGTCTACACAAATTGAGCATCAGAGGATATAGTTAGCAATATTTTTCATACTTCTCCTCTCTGTATGTGTGAGATGCGACAGCTTCCTATTAGTCTAGGTTAGCATCAGGGGAACAGGGACGGTTACAGAAAGGGTTTAGATTCTTGCTTTCTCAACATAATATCCATGGAACCGCAATCCTTGCGATTTAAAAAACCAGAAATCATCTGGGCTGCACTTACTTGGAGCTTGCTTGTTCTTGGTGTGGAATATAGCATTTAACCTTTCATTTAAGTAAAACTTTTATTATTTTTCCTGGCGTTGCTTCCCTGTGACAATGTCTCAAAGAGATTGAATGGAAAAAAAGAAAGCTACAGGCCCATCATCAAAACACACACGTCTCGTAACAGTGGAAAAATGTTAATGTAGCTATATTTCTCCCCTGTAGGGGAAAAGAAAAGAAATTCAGAGCTGCTTCATTCATTTCAGAAATACAGCACTATTCTTCCTTTAAAAGGAGGTTACTAATCTATAGTTAGAAGATCAAAAATAGGATGATATAGAGAGGCAGGCTCTTAATAGCATGCCATGAATAGTTAAAAAAGAAATTATGACTGGTTTCAGCGAGAAATAAAATGAGTGATGTTCATTGCTGTTATATGGAATGCTATATAGACCATTACATACCTGGCCAGTGATGGCCAACTTTCCTTGTGGCCATTTTTTTTAACAGCAAAGTTTACAAAAAAGACTAGGTATTATGAGCACAGTGTCTTCTATGATTCCCGAAATGACTGTTCGTTTCACATAGGCTAGGGTTTATTTTTATTTTACTGGGTTGTTTTTATTACTGATCTCTGATCATAAAGAATTTGATTGATATATGTGAAGTGGACAGACTCAGCAGGAGTTTATAGTTGGATGGCAATTTCTCTTCCATTGGTTCTCAGTTCTCAGACTGGTAACCTACAAAGCTCATGAATGTGATTTTTAAATAATTGTTCAAAGGACAGTGGTACCTTGGAACTCATTGTTAAATGGTTCTGGGAGGTGTGATGAGTTCCAAAAACTATGAACATTGAACAGTTTTTCCCCACAAAAAAAATGAGTCACAACACAACCAACACTAACAAGTTCTAGCTTGCATGTTGAATACCAAACCAACGAGTACTGGGACAAAATCTTCATATCAGAATGTGTTGAGTATCAAATTCGATGAGTTTCGAAGCAGTTGAGTACCAAGGTACCACTTTGCAACATGAAGCAAAAATCAGTCTTAGCTAAACGCAGATGAGGGAGAACCAATTTGTTCCTTTCCTTGTGTTGGCTTCCATTGCATGTTGCATCCATCCCTTAGTTCGTTCTTGTGCTTCTAGCAGCGAAAGCTTTTCTTAATTAACTTATTGTAAATATTGTCCTGGATAAATAGTTGGTTTGAAGGAGTGCCTTGATTTTCATGCTTTTGTAGTCCAATTATTTTTTCATTTTTCTGCATGAAATTAGCTGCATTGGAGATGCCTTCCTCACCCAGCAGGAAAAGGGTAGAGGTTCACGCTTTGCATTCTAGACAAAGTTTTGCTCAAAGCAAATAAACTCGTGAATATCCAAAAGATTGTTGATCTGATTAAATGATTTGAGTAATGAAAAAACATTGTATACAAAGGTATCTTATAATTGGATTCCTAGCATCTAGATTATTATCTTTTGAAAGCTCAGAAAGAATTTTAAACATAGTCAGTATATAACGATTCATGTTTTGAGACTAAAACATCTATTGATAATTTCCTGGAGGCTTATCCTTTTGAAAACATTTTCTTTTCTCTTGTTTATTAGTACTTCATATTTCTTACTGCAAATAAGTAACACTATGGTAAAAGGGGGGGAAATTACATAATTTTCTCAAAAGGACATTTGTCACGGTTGTCATTGTTTTATCTCTTCTGCAACACCGAATGAATTTGTAAAGTGAGTCATTTATTGCATATTAAATATTAAAATGAGTTAAAGGCCAGCTGAGCAAAGGGCATGATGCTAATCACCAAATAGTCATCTTAATAAGAAAATGAGGTCTTGCAAAATGAGAGAGAATTACTTAAGAGTGCTGTAGAAAATTACCATCATACCCCATAATAAAATAGAAGTGGCATTTACGATCTTTTGTAAAGACATTTTTCCTATCACAAACTTGTGATTGAGAGGAAGCGCTTTGCCCATAGACTGAGATGTCATCTTTGTCTCGGTGATTATTTTCAAACATTCTGAATTTTGTTTAGTGGGACAACATCCAAGCAGGTATCTCTGGAGTGGCCATATAATTTTTTCCAATAGGAAACTGCATTATGTGATTTCAAATGCTTGTTCCTCAAGGGTCAAAGTATCAGAGAGAGGAGCACCACATAAATTTAATAAATGAAGTAGTCCCAAAGGTGCTTTTTTTTTCTTTTTAGAAAGTCAGTTTCTAAATTGCATTAACAGAGGGATACAATCAAGATCAAGTAAGGTACACCACACTATAAAAAAGATGTTGAGACTCTAGAAAAAGTGCAGAGAAGAACAACCAGGATGATGAGGGGACTGGAGGTTAAAACATACGATGAACAGTTGCAGGAACTGGGCATGGCTAGTCTAGGGAAGAGAAGGACCAGGGGAGGCAGGATAGCAGTCTTCCAATATTTGAGGGGCTGCCACAGAGAGGAGGAGGGGGTCAAGCTATTTTCCAAGGCACCCGAAGGCCAGACAAGGAATAATGGATGGAAACTGAACAAGGAGAGATTCAACCTGGAAATAAGGAGGAATTTTCTGACAGAACAATCAACCAATGGAACAGAAGTTGCCTTCAGAAGTTGTGGGAGCTTCATCACTGGAGGCTTTCAAGAAGAGACTGGAGTGCCATCGGTCAGAAATAGGTAGGGTCTCCTGCTTGGGCAGAGGGTTGGACTAGATGACCTCCAGGATCCCTTCCAACTCTGTTAATCTAAACATTTGTCCTTTTGGGACAATCATGACCTGGATGACTGAAAATGACAACCTTGCTGTCCGAAAAACAGATCCTGCTGCTTGCTGAAAAATACGGCATTCTGAAATCCTGTTTATGGTGGTCTCAATGTCAACTATGGTCTACAATAGCATTTTACAGGTCTGGGTGTCTTAACACTAGAGCTGTGGTCACAGTGAAATAAAACATACAGTTCATCAGCATTCCACAAGTGTTGAATTCTCTACAAGTGTTTGATTGACAGGAGGAACAGTTCTGATCCAGGCCAGCAGAGAAGGCAAAAAAATGCTCAAAGAAAAAAAGAAGGAGAAATTGGGTGTTCTGGGAATAGCAAGAACTTTTAGAATTTTTAACAGTGAAGCAAGACACAGAAGGACTCCTACAAGCCCATGATCTTTATAGATGCCTTTTAAAGTTTAACATTAATGCCAGTAGGGTGTGATTGGTGAAGTTACTAGACTGACAACTGCATAGATCGTGGGTAGAGATCTTCAGCCGTGGAACCTCCCTTGGTGACTTGGACCCAATCCCATTCTCTTAAGATCTAGTGTGCCCCAGTGAGTAAGGGGATGGACCCAGAGTAGGAACACCTAGGTTGAAGTCCTCTCTCATCCACACAAGCTCACTGGATGAGTCTGATAAGAGACAAAATAAGAAACCAGAGTCAACACCATCCCATTTGTCTGGGATGGTTTGAAGAGTCTGGACAAGGGAAGACCTCCAAGGTCCCTTCCAACTCTATGAGTCCAAGTTCTTCTTAAAGACCCTTTAATGATATTGAAAGGACTATGAAATGCATAACAAATTGAGAATGACCAAGTCTGAAATGCTCGGTGGATCAAACTTCCGTAGCTCATGGCAAAGTCACACCAAGTCAGAGATGGACAATCTCTGCCTCCAAACTCAGTTTCTAGAGAAGGGATTGCTGCTGCCTGCTACGGCAGACAATATCCACATTTATTTCATTTGTCTATGGAGATTCTCTTGCCCAGATGCTCACCAGATATCAATAAAGACTTACATACCGCTTCAC